CCCTTCTCCCAATTCAGCAGTTATTTATGCGTTGCCATATTTGCTTTATCTCTTTTTCTAAGTACATATTTATTGTCACTGAATCACTTGAGAGTAGCTGCACATAGCCTGCCCCGTTCCTCCGTAATTCAGAGCATGCAGGTCTGAGGGTAGGATGGCCTGCACGCACCGGCAGTATCCCCATCACACCTGACAAGTGGGCACTGGTTCACACGCCAGCTCACTTCCTGTCCATTTTCAGATCTCCCAGTTGTCCCAAGAATGGCGTTTTCCCTTAACCAGACTCCTGGAATGGCACTAGGGGTCATATCTCTCCTGAACCAGACCCAGTGGGTGCTCGGTGTGGCACTGGGGGTTATTCCCTCCTGAAACAGACCCAGCAGGTTCCTGGTGTGGCACTAGGGGCCATTCCCTCCTGAAACAACTGGTGGGTGCCTGATGTGGCACCGGGGGTCATCTCCCTCCTGAACCAGACCTGGTAGGTGCCCAGCGTGGCACTGGGGGTCATTCCCTCCTGAACCAGACCTTGTGGGTGCCCAGCATGGCACTGGGGGTCATTCCCTCTTGAACCAGACCTGACAGGTTCCTGGCGTGGCACTGGAGGTCATGTCCCTCCTGAAACAGACCCAGCAGTTCCCAGCATGGCACTGCGGGTCACGCCTTCTTAGTATCTTTTCATTTCAGGCTCCCCACTTTCCCCCCACAGCATCGACTTTTCTCAGCCATCTGCCACATCTGGACTTTTCTGATTCTTTACTATGGTGTCGTCCACCTTGTCTGTTCCCTGCATCCTCAGGAGACTAAAGGGAGTGTGAGAGGGGCTGGTCAGGCTTACATTTGGGAGATTGCTTTGTGCTGCGGCATCCGGGACTTGCCATCACATTGTGGCACTCCTCGGGTTGGTGCTGCTGCCGCCCTCTTGTGCCGGTTCCAGGGCCTGCGTGCTGGGCCGAGTCTGCCAGGGCCTGCAGAGCATCAGGAGAGGCCTGGAGTCCCAGCACAGGAGCCCAGGGTCCGCATGGCTCTGTCCTGGCGTTTCAGCCTCTCCCATGAGAGGGCAATCCATCGGGCCCCTCTGTTCTGTGTCTGGCCTGGAGGGGGGCCTTGGGCCCTTTCATCGTTTCTCACAGGCACACAGGCGCGAGTCCTATCAGAGTCAGCTTTGATGCTCTTAGCAGACTGTATAGATTTAGTGGGTAGAAAGTTTTAAATTGTTCATGGAAATATGACTTTTGCTGTCAGATAACATTTCCTTTCCATAGAGTTGCTGCGTTTCTCACCGTAGAGATGGGAATGGCTAGAGACAGTTCATTTTCCCCGACCTTGCGTTAAAGGCAGCTGGTGAAGAAGACTGACGTCAGAAATCAGAAGAGGCACGTCTTAGTCAGCTCGGCTGCTGTAACAAAATGTCAAGACGGGGTGGTTTAACGACACAGTCCGTCCTGGAGGCTGAAATCCAAGATGAAGGTGCCGGTCGATTTGTTTCCTAAGCAGGTGCCACTTCCTGGCCTTCAAGGGCCACCGTCTCACTGTGTGCTCACGTGGCGGACCTTGAGAGGAAGCTGTCTGCTGTGAGGGCACTAATCCTGTCGTGGGGCTCCAGCCTCATGAATCTGAAGGCCGCATATTTAGAGATGGGCATCAGGGCTTCGACACATGAATTTTGGGGGCACAATGTAGTACATACCAAGGGGCTCCAACTTCTGCCACTTGTTTTTTAACCGTTTTTTATCCCTCGAATTGGGAAGTAGTTGCCTAATGAAAATGTTTCCAGAGTTGGTGGCCACTCTGTTTTACAGGCTTGGGAAGCTGCCCCTTTCTTCTGCTAGTAACTTCCATTTCTCTAAATACTGTTTCATTCGTTTTCCGTTGCTGCATAACAAATTACCACAAACTCAGTGGCTTCAAAGGACACCCACTTAGTCACAGTTCCACGGGTCAGAAGTCTGGCACAGTGTGGCTGGCTCTCTACTCAGCACCTCAGAGGCTGAAATCAACGTGTGGGCCAGGCTGCAGCTCGACTGGGTCTCAGGTCTTCTTCCAAGCTCACTGGCTGTTAGTAGGATCCACTTGCTGGGGATTGCCCTCAGCTCCTGGAGGCCCTGCTTTTCCCCGGGGCTGTGGGCAGTTGACGTAGCATGTTGCTTTCTGCCAGGCCAGCAGGACACATCCCACTGACCTACTCTTGTCACCAGCTGGAGAAAACTCTGCTTTCAGTGGCCATGCGATTTGGGCAAGGCACTGGATACTCTCCCTATTTTAAGGGCCGAATCAGCCGATTTGGGACTTTAATTACATCTTCAAAAACCCCTTTGCAGCCAGTACCTAGGGTAGTAAGGCTAGAGGTGGAGCCCAGAATCTTGGCGCCATCTCAGAATTCTGCCTACCATAGTCTGCCCTCTGGCCTCCCAAAATTTATATTCCCCGCAAATGCAAACACACTTGTTCCTCCCTTCCAGGTCTCCCCAGACCCTCATCCGTCGTAGCATCAGCTCAGAGTCCTGAGTTTTGTCCCTGGGTCCTCTGATGGGTGTGATCCACTCACTGCAGCTCCTGGGCACCTGTGAACCTGGGGAGACTGGTTGCTCTCCCAGCACCCCAGGGCTGCAAGACAGATGAAGGACAGCAGGTGTAGCTGTTCTGGTTCACAAGGGGCAGGGGAGGTAACAGGCCTGGGTCAGTGCAGTTCACCTGCATTAGGGGATTCCCCAGCCACGTCTTGGAGGGGGTGTCAAGCTCGGGGTGACACACTGGCTGTCAGCTTTGCCCTCTGGGCTGTTGGTTCCACCTTGAGTCTGCCTTTTTCATGAATGGGGGCGTGTGTCTCTGGCCGAGCAGCTTCATTAGCTGGCCCCCTTCTGGTAGAACTTGGGGTCCAACAGCCCCCTTCACTGCAGGTGCTTCATGCTTCTCCAAGGCTGAACCTGCGTTGACAGCCGATGTGATGCTGTGAATAGAATCTCTTATACAGCTGAGTTTGAATCTTGCCTTCTCTTTTCCATACATTGCCTGACCATACTGTCTCCTGTTGTGAATTCCCAAGGGTCAAGTCTGAACCCCGTGCTCTCCTGGGCCCTCCATCCTCGTCCCCCTGTCTCATCTGGTTGCCTCGTTCTCCGGGCTGGCCGGCTGCACAGTGGTCGTGCTGGGCTTACTGGCTCCCTCTCCCCATCTGTTGGGTGCCTGCTGCTCCTGCCCCTCCCTCTGCTGGGCCACCTCCCCCTCTAGGTCACAGTCCAGACAGCTGTTGGAACCGGCTTTCCCTGGTCACTGTCAGAAGCCCCTCCACTCGTCCTCTTCTTTTTTTTTTTTTTGAGGAAGATTAGCCCTGAGCTAACTGCTGCCAATCCTCCTCTTTTTGCTGAGGAAGACTGGCCCTGAGCTAACATCCATGCTCATCTTCCTCTGCTTTATATGCGGGACGCCCACCACAGCATGGCTTGATGAGCGGTGCCGTGTCGGCACCTGGGATCCGAACCAGCGAACCCCAGGCTGCAGAAGTGGAACGTGTCCACTTAACCGCTGCACCACCGGGCCGGCCCCAACTCGTCCTCTTCTTGATCTGCTTTCTTCAATGCATTCGTCAGTCTTTGCTGATGAGTTTGTCCTTCATCACCAGTGGGAACGGGAGCTCCATGGGCACGTGACAACCTCTGGTAACATGTGAGCACACTTGCTGGCACACAAAGGTGCGCTGGAGGCATTTGTGAAGTGGGCACACTTCCTGAGACCTGGAGATGCTGTGGCTTCTGTTCATACTTGGTTATAGTTTGGCTGGATATAGAATTCTACGTTCAAGTCATTTTTCCTCAGAGCTTTGAAAGAATTGCTCCTTTGACTTGTAGAGTCCAGTGTTTCTGATGAAAGGTCTGGTGCCCCGGGTCCCCACTCTGTTGTGGGGTCTCCTGCCCCGGAACCCTTAGGGTCCTCTCTTGTACCCTTGGTGTCTGGAGATTCCGATCCATGGTCAAATGTGGGTCATTTTCACTCACTGTGCTCAGCACTGGGGCCCTTCCAGTCTGATGATTCTTCCAGCTGGGGAAATACTCGAATTATTTTTTTCCAAAAAATGAAATATTGCCCACAAACGAGCATAGAGATTGATACAACGAGCACCTTGTACCAGGCAAGAAATGAAATAGTAAAGTATACTTGAAAGCTCCTTCTCTGTTTTCTGTTTTTTCTGAAGCACCTGTTAGTTGGCTGTCAGATCTTTTCTCTCATATTTCCTGTGTTTTTCTACTCTTTAGGAAGATTTTCTCAACTTTATCATATGGCCCTTCCATTGAATTTTTAATACTGCCAGTCATATGGCTGACACTGTAGTGTAGGGAGATGGGTGGTAACAAAATCGTAAGTAAATGATAAGTCCCAGGGTGATGGCTTTTAGTCCTGGTGTGTGTGTATGTGTGTACATGTGTGCATGCGTGCATATGTGTGCACATAATTTTAAACAAGGTGGTCTCTGAAGGCTGAGGAGGCGACATTTGAGAAAAAGCTTGATGGAGGTGAGGGAGGAGCCATGTGGCCTTCTAAGAGAGAAAGTTCCAGCCAAAAGTACAGTAAGTGGAAGAGCCACAGGCAGAAGTGCACCTAAGATGTTCTAGAACTAGCAGGTTGTCCGCCGTGCCCGCAATGGAGCGAGGGAGATGGCTTGGGGCCTCCTGGGCCACTGGAATACTTTGGCTTTCCCCGAGCCTTCGGAGGATGTTGCACCACGGAGCCATCTGCTCAGGCTCGTGTTTTCACGGGATCCCTGGGAGCTGTGTTAGAGGTAAGTGGGGCCCAGTGTAGCAGGAGCCCCATTGCAGGTAAGCAGGGCCCGGTGTGGCGGGAGCCCCATTGCGGGTAAGCGGGGCCCGGTGTGGCGGGAGCCCTGTTGCGGGTAAGCGGGGCCCGGTGTGGCGGGAGCCCCGTTGCAGGTAAGCAGGGCCCGGTGTGGTGGGAGCGAGTGGTGCTGCTTGGCCAGCACAGTAGAGGGGTGTAGGTGGGAGGGGTATAGTCGACGCGACTGTGTATAGATGGGTGAGCGGTGAGCGAGAAGCAGGGATGACACCAGGCACTTGGGCTGCTGGTCACTGAGGTGAGGAAAGAGCCAGTGTGGGTGGGAAGCTCAGATTAAACTTGGAGCTGTGGAAATGCCTGGCCATCCAAGTGGAGTGTGGATAGTTGGAGTCTCGTTTTGGGTTCAGGGCATGTTGAGCTGGAGGAATACGAATGTACACGTGGAGGTGGGCAGCTGCTGAGATGAGACTGGAAGTGAGTGTTGGCATGCTCTGGGCCATGTGGACTTTGCCTGCGAGCGGTCTGGTTGTGGTAGATGTCACTGATGTGGACCATGATGCTGCGCGAGAAGTGCCTGGGGTCCCACCATGGTGACTGTGTCTCAGGTCTCTAAGTTACACCCAAATATTTGTACAAATACGTAATTTAGGAAATGAAAATTGGGAATCAGCTCAACCATGGAGACGGCCATCGGTCTTTGCCATATCAGTGAGTGGGTGTTTCTTTGCTCAGTCAACAAGTACTAACATCACATTGTGTGCTCCTCGGACACCCGATGATGGAGGAGGAATGGCTCTGGGTGTAGGGCCACATGGTCAGCAACTGAGCTAGACAGTGGGCTGTGGTGTCCCTGGGTTGGGGTGAGACCCTGAGCAGAGGTGGGGAGGTGAGGACGAGGCAGGAGGGCCTCTGAGCACTGCGCTCTACGTAGCTGGGCAGTGAGCAGGGAGCACCCCATGGCCCTCCCTGGAGCTAAGACCAGTGTGACCTGGGGGTGGGTAGCTGGGAGATGAAGCCCAGCCCATGGGCCAGAGCAGGCAGGAGTGGGTTGCTGGGGGCATCAGGGCCCAGTCAGCGGAGGAGGTAGTGCAGGGATCCTCACTGCCTTGTGAGTCCTGAACCCTTTTGAGAATCTAAAGTCAAAGCATGTTATGCTATTTCATCATTATTATTACTTATTTTTAGAGCTTTCATGGAGATATACAGCCGTATAGAAATACACTTAAAGTTTCCTTTTCTCTTATAGTCTTGACCTGGTTTCAGTATCCCAGCAGGAGCGTTTGTGATATGGTTCTGTTTATCTTGACAAGGTTGCGACCAGTCCTTGGCATTTGGCCGTGAGCAGAGCCCTGGCGGGTCTGTCTTTCCTCCAGGCTCGCTCACAGATGTGGCGATACTGGCAGAGTGCATTTGCTCAGCAGCTCTCCGAACCCCACCATGTGCCAGGCGCCACTGTAGGTGCTGGCCTTCCCTGGTGAGCGGGCCCAGACAGTGGTCAGCAGGTCTGAGAGTGAGTTGGCAGGTGCTGGGTGCCACAGGGAGGAGCCGGGGGCCGGGGGCAGGGCTGTGTGGTCAGCTGGGCCGTAGAGGAAAGACCACAGTGGACCAGACAGAAAAGCAGGGCTCTTCTTGCAGTGGGTGCCAGGGACTCAGAAGTGACCCAGCTCCTCCAGTCAGTCAGCGGGAGAGAAGGAGAAGCCAATCAGATGGGCAGAGAGGTGGGCACACGGGATGTGGAGGCGGCTTCCCCCGGCCTGATTCAAGGAGGAGTGCTCAGGAACATACATGTCCAAGATCGCAGCAGACTGGTTTGTGACAAGAGGGCACTGGGCAAGGGGCAGAGTTCAGCAGTTTGGTGACTTCTGTGTGAAAATAAATGAGAACAGGTGTTTCAGAGTGTTGCATGAAGGCAGAAGTGTCTATGGTGGATTCAACAGGGTTTACTTGCTGAGCACTGGGCCTGAGGTGGGTGCTCTGCTGGACAGGGTCTCCAGTGATGAGGACTCAGCCTCCACCCTGCTGGGGGTAGGCTGGGCACAACACACTGAAGATAATGACGGCACGGAGGACAGGACCGCAGCCGGCTTCAGGCCAGGGGTTGGGGTGGCCTGTCCAGGAGGCTCAGGGTCTTTTTGATGGCTGCCCAGGAGCCGGACCCCCACCCTGAGGATAGAGAGCCAGGCTGGTGGGGAACGGCACACACAGAGCTGAGAGGTGGGCAGTGCCAAGGGCAGTGGAGACGATGTGGGCAAGCACTGATGTGGACGAGCCCTGACGTGGAGAGGTGCTGATGGGGATGAGCCCAGACCAGATGGACACCAATGTGGACAGGGCTGGAGCATGGAGAGGGGCATGGCTCCCTGGGCGTCAGGGCCGCTTCAGAGATCTCACTTAGGAGGGACAGGTCTGATTTGCTTCTCTGTGTGTTGCTCAGACTTGACCGTGGAGAATCAGTGGCGAGAGTGGGCATGGGGAGGCCTGTCCTGGATGGATCCGCTGTCCAGACAGGAGACATGGCATTGTCCAGGGACTAGCCATGCACACGGAAGGCCGACGGAGGACGTGGCTTGGAGGAGGAAGAAGGGAGGGAGGAGTGCCCCTGTGGGGCAGCTGGAGCTTGGACTTGGCCAGGGGTGGGAAGCAGGTGGGCATTTTCTTAAAAAGTTGTCATATAACCATTGTGGGTGTTTACTCCAGAGCATCTGCCCACGCAAAGACATGGCCACAGATGTCACAGCAGCCTTATTGCTAACAGCCCCAAAGGAAACAACCCAGATGTCCATCTACTGGTGAGTGGCCAGCAAAGTTATAGTGGACACTGCTCAGAATAAAAAGAATGAGCTAGTCGTACATCTAACAACATGGGCAAATCTCAAAACAGTTACATGAGTGCCAGGAGCACATACTGTGTGATCCCATATACACAACATCCAGAAAACACGAATTCAGTGCAGTCAGCCGGGCCAGATGAGGGGGGGCAGAGGTCCTTTCTCGATGGTGGTAGTCGTTCCCAGGGTGAATGTCAGAGCTTACCAAGTTGTCCCTTTAAAATATGTGCAGTTTATTATTTGTCAAATGTCCTCAGTAAAGCAGTTTAATAAAGGCTACAGGATGTTATGAACAATTTTGTGCCAGTAAATTTGATGACCATTTTCTAGAAAAACACAACTTAGCAAAACTAATTCTGAAATAAGTAGGAAACTAAGATGCTTGTAAGATATGGTTGACAAAAGAAAGCAGGACTCCCAGTGGCTTGCCTGGTGGGGCAGGTACAAGTTCTTTCTCCTGGGGGGGGGGGGGGTTCCAGGGCAGCGGCGCCCGCACCTGAGGCAGGCGGACTGAGGAGGGTTCAGGCTGCAGGGAGCCGAGCAGGAGAGTGGGGCCCAGCCTCAGGAGGGCACTTCTAGGAGGGCCCGCAGGTCACAGAGCCAGCTCTGTGTGCTTGTCTCTGGGGAAGGACGCACGCCACGCCGTGGTGACACAGACAGCTGTGGCCGGAATCTGAGACCCGGAACAGTGGAGCCCAGTTGCCGTGTGTGTCGATGTGGGAAGATGCCAGGGTGGTTCATTAGTTACAAGAACTGTGTTGCAGAGCAGCATGTGTGATCCGAGGACGGTGTCTTAGTAAAAACGAGGGGGTGTGTGTGTGTGTTGGAAGCATTTAAGGGTCTTCCCACAGAGGGAGCACACCATCACGCTAAGAACAGCAGTTAGCTTTGGGTGATCAGGATTGTAGAAGTTTTTCCTTAATATCATTCTTTACTTTCCAAATTGTGTTTAATAAATGTGTGTATTACTCTCACACTGCAAAACAAACCCACTGTACTTGTGTAAAGGACAGTAATGGATGATGTAGGTGTAACACGGGGGTGGAGGGGTAGGGAAGTACCCACTGAACAGAGCTTGCAGGAGCCAGAGTGGGGAGCACTCCAGGCGGTGAGTGCATGGTGGAGTGGCCTGTGTAGAACTTTGGCCCAGGAGAACTGTTGGTGGCCAAGGAGGCTGTTTGTGGCTGGTCTGTTTGTGGCTGTTGTGGAGGTGAGTGGGCAGGAAAGCAGGGCCTCTTCACACAGGTGCGAGGGCCCCTGGGGTCTCAGCTGTGCCTGCAAGGTGTGGTGGAGTGACACTCACCCATGCCCTTCCGGAAGACTCTGGCGTGCGTGCAGAGCAGTTGCCGGGGCCGGTCTCTGTGGAGGGCTGCATCTCATCCCTGCGGGGGCCACAGGGGGAGATGCAGGGCCAGATCTGAGGGGCTGCGGGGGACCTTGGAGATTGGTGATGTTGGCAACGTCCTCGTCGCTGGGGTCTTGTCGGGAGCCGTCTTGTAGAGTGGGGGATGGAGGATGGGCAGAGGAGCATGGAAGGGTCATGGGGGTCCTGTCTGGCTGGCTAGTGGTGGTTCATCTTCAGTGAGAGGAGGGAGGCTCTCAAGCAAGAACAGCTTGCTGGAAAGGCCAGAGCCCTGTGAGGAGTGGGGTCCAGAGCGGGGCTCATCAGCCCAGGCACACAGAGAATCGGGGTGTGTAAGCTCCCAGGGAAGAGGGCACAGGGCCCCCTGGAAAGTGGGTGCTGTGTAAGTGCAGGGCCCCTGGGAAACATGGGCACCGGCAGTGCCCCGGTCACTCTTCACGAAGTGAAGGGTTGGGCAGGCTGCACAGAAGATCCACAGAGCGGAGACCCCAGGGGCCAGCGGGAAGTGGGTGTGTGGCAGGCTCCAGGATCTGAGAGCGATGCCAGGAGAGCACGGGGCAAGGGGTGAGGAGAGGGATTTGGTCAGGGTGCGGTTTAGAGCCTAACATCCCAGGTGTGGAGCATGTGTGCTGGAGACAGGCTGGAAGCACTCTCATGCTCACCACTACAGTGTATTTCAGCAAAAGGACCCAGCAGAATCAGCAGAGGACAAGACGTGCGACGAGGTCTAGGAACTGGGCACAGCTTCCGCAATTCTTTTGATTCCCAACCTCGGCTCGTCAGCAGGGACGGGACGCTCCCGGCACCCAGGGTTTGTCAGGGGCTGGTCACGGTGGCTCCCCTGCTTGTCGCGCTCCAGATTCCAGAAGGAAAGCAGCCTCCCACATAACCACGCTGTACGTTGTTGGCACATGTTTGGGCCCAGCGGGCCGCTCTCAGCATTTGATGCAGGGAACTATCCCCAGCCAGGTTCCCACGCACCAGCTGAGGGCCAACCTTGCTGGCCTCTTGCAGGACGAATCTCAGTTGTTGGCCAGGCAGGAGGGGGATTCAGTCCTTCGGCCACACTGGCCGCCATGCTGGGCTGCATGGAGGGATGGCTGGTGTCTAGGGTGATGGGGCCAGAGAGTGGAGCCCCCGTGCCTCTGGTCTGACTTGGGGAATGGACTGCTAAGCTGTGCAAGGTCTGGAACTGTCTAAAATGTTCCATTATTTTTTAGTTTTATATTCTTTATTAGAAATTCTTCTTTCAGTGTTGATAAAACCGAAATTTTTGTTTATACATGTACATAGTTACGTACAGTGAAAAATCACCCTGGACAGTTTGGCAGCCGTTCTGTGGCGCTGAGTCACTTTGGTTAGCTTTGAAACTTGATTGGCTGTGTCAGGACAGACACGGATCTGACACAGGTGGTAATTTTCATTGTGGCTACCAGGTGACCACCAGAAAGCTTCCACTATTGTAGGCCGCGTAAGAGTATATCTGTGCAGTTTATTTTAGTAAGGACAGCATCTTATCAAAATTCAGCTTCAGTCGCTTTCAGCTTTGAGGCTGCATCAGATGTAGGACTGAGCGAGGCCTTCGTTCTCATCGGTGCAGGACCAAGTTCCATTTATGGTACATTTATTTTCCAATTTTAAAATTTCACTTAAATTTCTGCAAATTAGGAAATTATGATAAATTAAGACTTGGTGAGAAGGTGTCAGTGCACCTTGGGAGCGTAAATGTCAGGTCGGGAAGAGAGTCCCCTCCCCGAGGCTGCGTCAAAGGTGGAACCTCCACTCTGACTGGCCAGCATGCCTGTCCACCCGCGTCTGTGCCCAGACAGGAGGACAAGGGTTGGGGGTGCTGCGACTGCCGGGGTCATCAGTGACCGGGCGCTCTTCCCTCAGCACGAGGTCAGGGTGGAGCTGCATTTGCCTGCTCCTCACAAGCGTTTCTCCATGTGAACGTGTCACTCACTCCTGTCAGTGGATACGTGGGGTGTGTCCTGTTTGGGGCTGTTTGAAGCAGCATGCTAGAAACACTCACCTGTGTGTGCAAGAATTTCTGTAGGGCGTGCACCTGGGCATGGAATTGCACAGTGGACGGTACGTCCAGCAGTCGCCAGGTGATGCCAAACTGCTTGCTGAGGAGGTTGGACTTCCCTCGCACCCCTACTCCGTGTGGCTGGGCTTAATTTTTGACAGTACAAGGGGCCTTCATTTGCATTTCCCAGGTTACTAAAGAAGTTGAACGTTTTAAAATATGCTTATTTGAGTTTTCTCTTTGGTGAAGTACCTGTTATTTTTATCATCTGGAGCAGGGGTTGGCAGACTTTTTCTGTAAAGGACCAGACAGCAAATAACTTAGCTTTGTGGGCCACATGGTGTCAAAACGCCTCACTTCCAAAGCAGTCACAGTCGACACAGGTGAGCAGCTGCCTGGCCCACTCAAATGGCTCACAGAGTGGGCTGGCCGTGCCCCGTCTGGACCAGAGTCTCGGGCTGGGTGTTGTCTCCCACCCTGGCTGTCCACCTCGTGTCTCGCGATAATCCAGCACGCTGAGTGGTCCTTAAGGAAGTGGATCTTGTGGGTCCCCCCATGTGTGGCTGATGCTTCTTGCTGTGTCTTATCTTTTCCTCACTGAGGTCATGACACTGTCTCCCTGGCATCTTCTCAAGGGCTAAAGTTGTGCCTTTCACTTTTGGTCTCCATCCACCTGGAACTGATTATTTGGGGTGAAGATAGGGGAGATGCCTGCTACAAGGTAGGAGTTTGGTTTTTTTTTCCCCCACAGTTTCACCGCTAGCAGTGATGTTCATTGTAGGGTTTTGCTTTTAAAGGACACTTTCTGTGGAAGTACAGTCCACACACGCTGAAGTTTGCCAGTTTTATGGTACAGTTGGTGTCTTGGCGAGTCTGTCTAGTCATGTGACCATGCCCCAGTCCTGACCCAGAGCCCTCCTGTCCCCTCAGACTTCCCTCGGGTGCCTCATGGCCAGTCCCTGCCGCTGGCCCAGCCTGTGGGCACCCCGAGCTGCCCCTTCTAGAACTGTGTCAGGAGACACTCTCTGCACAGTCTCTGTCTGCTTCTGTCCTCGGAGCATGGAACTCCGTCTGTCTGCTTCAGTCGCTGAGAAGCACCCACTGCGTGGACGGGCCCCCTCCGTCTCCTGGCACTTGTTGGTGGGTGCTGCTTCCACTGTGGGTGTTAGGAGTAAGCATTCAGGCGTCGACCTCTGAGGGGGTGTTTGCATCAGTGTCTCTTTTAAGTAGAGAACTTTCAGTAGGTTAAAGACATTTCCTTCTATTCTTAGTTGGCTAAGGGTTTTCTTTCCAATCGTGAATGGATAATGAATTTTGTCCAATGATTTCTGTGCATCTTCAGGAAGATCTGATCATTCTTCTCGTTTTACCTTTTGTCATATGTCACATTTATTCCTTACGTTAAGCCCTCTTATATTCCAGGAATAAACCTGGTTTGTCCACCACCCTTCTTTTTTTTTTTTGTTAAAGATTTTGTTTTTCCCTTTTCTCCCAAAGCCCCCTGGTACCTAGTTGTGTATTTTTAGTTGTGGGTCCTTCTAGTTGTGGCATGTGGAATGCCGCCTTAGCGTGACCTGATGAGTGGTGCCATGTCCACGCCCAGGACTCAAACTGGTGAAACCCTGGGCCGCCGCAGCAGAGTGCCAACTTGACTACTCGGCTATGGGGCCGGCCCCAACCCTTCTTCTTTTCATGCCCTGCTGGGTGTGGTGACTCATGTGTTCACGTTGTTACACTCGTGTCCACCGGTGAGCGTGGTCTGTGATGTCCCCCCAGCTCTGGCCTGGTGTGTGTGTTCTGTGCGCTTCCTGGAACCAGGGACCCGGAGTGGGCTCGTGTGAGGTGGGGTGGCCCTTGAGCTTTGGTAGGACCATCTCGAGATTCCGGGCCTGTGGTTTGCTTGGATGACTGAGTCGGTTCTTAGTGTTAGAGAACGTTCTGGGTTTTCTCTTTGTACTTGCCTCATTTCTGGGGAGTTATTTTTCTGGGAATTTATCAATTTTATATAAATATTCAACTTTAATGCCATAAAGTTGTTCATAATGTCTATTACTGCTCACATGTCATCTTCTCAATGAAATATTCACTGACAACCTGTTTTCCCCGCCGGCCCTGCCCTTGTCCCCTCCTCACACGCTAGACGGCTGGCCCGTGTGCGCGTTTATGGTGGTTGCTCTCCATTCGTCGTTAGAATGCTGCTCTCGGGGTTTGGGTCTCGTTGTTTACTGACGTCTAAGAACTCACGTTAGGAGTCTGTAGCCGTGTAACTAGCCACAGTCTACACTAAGTGAAATTAAAGACCCTGAAGGATTCCCGAGTCATACTTGCCAGATTGCGCCAAGGGCTCAGCGGCCACCTGTGGACTGTCTGCTTCATCACGGAAGGTTCTGGACTAGAGCCCTGCTTCATTCTCTTCCTCTTTGTTCTGTTGTAAGTGCCTCAGACACGCTTGTTATTCTTCCTAAATAACTCACTCCCTCCCTCCCTTCCCTTTTTCCTTTTTCTGTAGAAGTTAATTGAGCTTCAAAGAGTAGTTAATAAAAACTGCAGTTTTGGAAAAGCTTGATGAGCAGACATGACATAATTGGATATGATGTGCGCCTCAGGAAGTACTTACAGGCCCGTTGTTCCCGGAGGTGTTTAACCACTGTTGCTGCCCCAAGGTGTTCGCGCGGCGCTTGGGGCCCTGGCACTCTCCCCAGTTTGGCTGCAGCTTCACATCCCCCTCCAGGAGGGAGCAGGCTAGCAAGCTCGGCCTGCCCGTTCCCACCTGAAGGGCGGGAGAGGAGGGCTTCAAGCAGGGACAGGCAAGCAGGGAGGCCCATCGAGGTCCTGAGCAGACTCAGGCTGAGTCTTGCACGTGGCACGGGGGTCACTAGCCCTACCACCCTGAGACCCGTAGGCTGGGAAACAGACCCACTGCTGGACACCTTGGAGCTCTGAGTGACTCCTCTCCCAGAGCAGAAGCCTGAGTCTCGCAGAGGCCTCTGTGCCTCCCCGGTTCACCCTGTCCTGTCTGCTGCCCCATGGCTAGCCTTCTGCTCTCCTTCTCCCCTCACCCCTCACCCATGCTCACCACCACCCCTCACCTGCACTCCCACCTAGCCCCTCACCTATGCTCCCACCTCACCCCTCACCTGCGCTCACCCCTCAGCACGCTCACCCCTTACCTGTGTTCACACGTACTCCTCATCTCTGCTCACCCCTCACCTGGGCTAGCCCCTTGCCCTTCACCTGTGCGCACCTGGCTCCTGCCTAGTGAGGCCCTGAGGCCCCACATGAGCCTCACACAGGCCACCTCCCTAGTCCCCAACATAAATACTGTGCTTGTGTGGTCATCTGTCTCCCACCAGAGCTCCGTGTTCTTGTTTCCTCTGTGGCGCCATGTGGATGGCACGTGTGGGTGACACCTCCCCTGTCTTGTGTCTCCACAGGTTTCAAAATGTAGCTGAGGTTTCCACGTCGCCATGTACAGGTAAATGCAGTGTAAAGGTTTTTTTCTTTTTTCAGTGCATGTGAATTGGTTAAATTTACTTTGAATTATGCTTTGTGAATATATTGTAGCTATAGAAGAAGTCAATTCCTTATAACTCCTTTGAAATGCAGTCTCTGATGGCTCTGGAGCAGATTAGGGCACAATTATTTATATATATTTAGGTTTTCTCTTGATTATTTCTAATTGACTCTGCTGTTCACTACATGGGACTCATCTAAAAATTCTAGTAAGACCTAATTACAGGACTGTGTGCATCACGCATAAATGATGTGAAGTGGAATAACTGGTGCCGTTTCTGTGCTAGAAGATGGACAGAGAGCAGGGGCAGAAGGGAGGCGCAAAAGTGCAAGGCCAGCGTGCGGAGTGAAGCCACCAACCCAGAGAAGAGCCTCCACACAGTAGCTTGAAGCGCTGATGCAAAGGCTGAAGGGGGAGCAGAAGACACCAAGAGGAGGTGAGTGACCAGGGCGTCTCGGTAGCCACGACGTGGGGGGTCACAGGGTTTGCACAGCTGTGTTCACTGTCACCGCCGAAGGTTCCTGGTGCTCCTGGTCCTCTGTCTGCTTCCTGTGAAGCGTCTGTGAGACAGACTGGGGAGGAGGGCGCCTCGGGCTTTGCTGGCAGTTGCAGTTTGCAGAGGGCTCAGGACAGAAAGCCTGTCCGGTGTCCAGTGCCAATGTCCAGTGCTGTGCAGGGCTACTGAGCACAGGAGCCCCAGGGATACGACTCTGCCACAGTGTTGGTGACAGTGGGCACTTGTCCTTCCTGCGTACCCCTCCTCATGTGCCTGAGGACAGGAGGGTGGCTGGCCATGGGGGTCCAGTGTTGAGGTCCTAGCATGGGCAGAACTGGCAGTCTGGGCCAGGGGGACAGGCCAGTCTTGTCTCCAAATATGAGTAGTCAATGGACTGAGGCCCCCTTTTCTAGGCGGGTCTGGGCCAGCCCACAGCCAGGCACTGTGCTCCGGCAGCCTGTCTCTCCGTCTTTCCTTGTCTTTTATGACCCTAATGGTGTTGAAAAGTGACCTGCCTCACAGGGCTTGTCTGGTGTTTCCTGGGAGTGAGACTGGGTGTGCCCTTTTGGCGGGAGTCCTTTGCAGTGTGATGCCAGGAGGCATACATGTTGTCCTTCTGGTCCCTGCCTGGGTGTCACCTGGTCGCTCAGTAAGTGATGTCTGAGAGGTTTCTCTACCCTGAGGTCCACTCTCCCTTTGTGGCTGAGACGTGTCTGGTTGGGGGACACTCTGAGACTTTATGAATCTTCTCTTCCTCAGCTGAGTCTCAGTGCTCTTTAGCATCCGTTGATGATTCTGAGTAAATCTCCCTGCAGGTCTTGTCGTGGATAATGGTTTTCTACCTGGAGCGTTCCTGCCACGTTTGTCAGCTCACGTTCTTCTGTAAGGAAGAGTGTTTCTTGTTTGTCTGTCTGTCTTGGTGTGGACTCGTGGGCTTTGGTGTTATCTGCTGATTATAATATGATTCCATCTATTAGCCTGATGACAGTCACTAAGTATCATGATGCTCTACTTGTCCGTGGTGGGGCCAGTGGAGCTTCTTTGAGCTGGTGCCAGGTCCACTCTGCTTCTGAGCACAGTGGGCCCTCCAGGTTCTGTTTGTTGCCCAGCCCTGGGTCAGCCCCTTTTCCAGGCACCCCTGCTTGCTCATGAACAGTGGTGTGTACACCAGATCTTGGGGCTACCAAGGAGCAGGCGCTCCCAGCAGACAGAGCTGAGAAAAGGGTGTCAGTCCACACTCACATGCACATACACATCTATGTCTATAGACCTACCTACCCACTAAACATGAGTTCACACTGACACTGATGCCAGCAAAGGAGACTCAGACCCTGCTCATGAGGAAGGAGACGCAGATGCTGATTCCTGCAAAGGAGACGCAGACCCTGATTCACGCAAGGGAGACACAGACCCCACACAGGAGACACAGCCCCTGATTCCCACTAAGGAGATGCAGGCCTTGATTCCCGCAGAGGAGACGCAGACCCTGATTCCCACACATGAGACGCAGACCCTGATTCTCACAAGGGAGACGCAGACCCTGATTCCCACACATGAGACGCAGACCCTGATTCCCACAGAGGAGACGCAGACCCTGATTCCCACAGGGGAGACGCAGGCCCTGATTCCTGCAGAGGAGACGCAGACCCTGGTTCCCATAGAGGAGACGCGGGCCCTGATTCCCACAGAGGAGACGCAGACCCTGATTCCCATAGAGGAGACGCAGGCCCTGATTCCCACAGAGCAGACGCGGGCCCTGATTCCCACAGAGGAGACGCGGGCCCTGATTCCCGCAGAGGAGACGCAGACCCTGATTCCCACAGAGGAGACGCGGGCCCTGATTCCCGCAGAGGAGACGCAGACCCTGATTCCCACAGAGGAGACGCAGACCCTGATTCCCATAGAGGAGACGCGGGCCCTGATTCCCACAGGGGAGACGCAGGCCCTGATTCCCGCAGAGGAGACGCAGGCCCTGATTCCCATGAGGAGACGCGGGCCCTGATTCCCACAGAGGAGACGCAGGCCCTGATTCTCACAAGGGAGACGCAGACCCTGATTGCCGCAGAGGAGACGCGGGCCCTGATTCCCACAGGGGAGACGCAGACCCTGATTGCCGCAGAGGAGACGCAGACCCTGATTCCCACAGAGGAGACGCGGGCCCTGATTCCCACAGAGGAGACGCGGGCCCTTATTCCCACAGGGGAGACGCAGACCCTGATTGCCGCAGAGGAGACGCAGACCCTGATTCCCGCAGAGGAGACGCGGGCCCTGATTCCCGCTGAGGGGCCAGATGCCTGTCTGTGCCAGTGAGCTTTTAGAGTTTGTTTTGGCTGTAGTTTTGGTTTGGTGATTCAGTTATTTCGTGGTTGGGAAGACGTTTTATTGCTGAGTGTCTTACTATGTGATAAGCATACTTGCACGTTGCTGAGCACATCCTCAAATTCTTAGTGGCCAGTGTGTAAACAGCTGCTCAGTAGAGGACTGAGGACACAGCTGCAGCCCTTGGTGAGGGCCAGCGAGTGGACATCATACCCTGGGCTTCAGCAGCTCACAGGAGGATGTTTCCAAGTTGCTGCTCTCAGGTTTTCTGCTCTGCTCTGCTTGGGAATGATTCTAGGGTTTCTCTTCTCTTAGATTATCTCCTTTAATTTCCTGCTCCATAAGGCGGTGCTGGGCCCTTCTTTGCTGAGATAGATCCCAGAAGGTCAGAGTTACCTGGCTGGGCACCTCAGCGCAAGCACTTTGTGAAGATGTGCAGACCCACGTGGGCTCAGGGCTTGTGCGGCTTTGTCACCTGAGATTGTTCCCTGTGGAGTTAGCTAGCTGGCCCCTTTGGCCTAAGGAGCCTGTTAGAATGTTCCACCGAGTTCCATTTCATCTTTCCTAAAATACTAGTGACAGCAGTGACCCCCCCCCCCCCCCCCCCGCATAGACACACCTCACTGCGAGGGAGGTGGGAGGGGTCATCTCTGACGGGGACCATTGGGTGAGCAGCCAGCAGTGTCTGCTTCGTATCTTACTTCCTACGAGAACTTGGGAGTGTTTTGCTGGTTTGGAGGTGCACTTCGCTTTTGCACATGAGTTTAGTCTGGTGGTCTTGACGAATGCATTAGTTCGCTCTGATAGTTCCTTGATTCTGATGGGTTTCAGTGTGGGTGACGATTTGGTCTCCTGATTGTCCCTCCCCTCCAGGTCCTGCGCTTCCTCGTCTGCCGTGAAGCCCTGGCCGGCCCCAACCCCATGCTGCGGTGGCAGGCACGGCTGGCGTTCTTGCCCTCGTACCTCTTCCAGATGGAAGTGCTGAAGTCCTCCGAGTGGGTTGCTTTCCCTTGTTTCAGTAGCCCTGAATAGTGAGTGTCCTTGCCCGCCGCCTGTGAGCCGTATTCACTGTGGCCACTATCTGGCTGGCCATCTCTGCCCACACTTGCTGTGCGACCAGCCACCTTGGGTGACGCTGTCGGCCCCTTTCTGCCTTGGACTCTGGCGTCCTGGAGAGTCTGTTTCCGGTCTTGGTGCCACTTCTGTCGGAAGGCCTGCTTTGAGAGCCTTCCCCTGGTGGGTGTTCATGGGAGGCCTGGTTTCTGTGGCGTGTGTGCTGGTTTCCTGCTGCTCCTGCAACCGATGACCACGGACTTCATGGCTAAAGCCACATAAATGCGTTATCAGACGTTCTGAGGGTCAGACTCCAAAATGGGCCTCACAGGGCTGAAGTTGAGGTGTTGGCAGGGCCGGCTCCTTCTGGAGGGTTAGGGTAGGAGCCATCACTTCTCTTTTCTGGTTTGAGGCAGTTTCGCCAGAAGCATCTTTGCCACATTTTCACCGTGTAACTAATTGGCTGCATGCAGTTTTGCCACAAAAGATGAAATAACTGATTGAGGGTTTTGTCATTGTCGTTTCATTTCTCCATTGATGAAGTTCTCGCAGTTACTCCCATCTTAATATGATGTGAATCTTGGCCCTCACAGTGGTCTGTGTGGTGACAGGTGGATATGGCGGTGCTGGTGGTCTGAAATCGGTACATTTCTTCCAGTCAGTGACGTCATTGATGACTTTGTCCGGCTGCCAGATGACAAGGATCTGCCCTAAGACTTGGTTTCTTGTTTGAAGCACACTCCATTGGAGAAAGCGGGCCCAGGGCCTCCTCTTTGAGGGTGCAGAGTTGAACCCACGTTTTCTGTAGAACAGAGACAAGTGCTACTAGGTACAATCCACGCGTACAAATAAAATCAGTTCCTTGTACAGTGTTGCCGTGGGTCTGCATATCCACGTTTTAAATGTATCCCAGTATTTTGTATTTTGCTACTGAGTCTTTTTTTGTGCCTCATTTTTCATGTTTCAGTCTGTACTTTTTAGTTAATGTCCCTCTTTTGTTTTTCGTGATTTTCTCTTTTATGGCAAAACAGGCTTACTGCCAGTTATTTATGCAACAAAATGCTTGCAGCAAAACCCCTGGACATGGTCTTTTCCATCTTCTAGGGGCGCCCACATCCTTGGCTCGTGACCTCACCTTCAGGCCAGCAGTGCATCTCCCTTCTCTCGCTGGCTCTGACCCTCCTGCCTGCCCCTTATAGAGACCCGATGATGACAGGGTAATCCGGGTACTCCGGGACCATCTCCTATCTCAGGGACCTTTTGCCATGTGAGGTGACACAGGTTTTGAGGTCGGCTGTGGACATCTTCAGGAGCTGTCTTTCCTCCGGGCACAGCATTGTATTAGGCTCAGGAGATGCGACGACAAAACCCTGAGCTTGTGGAGCCTGGGTTCTAGTAGGAGAGGCAGTTAAAGCTGCATCAGTTCTGAAAGAGACAGAGCAGGAGCAGGCAGCCCCGCCCAGAGGCGGAGACAGTGTGTGGCATCCTGGTGCAGACGTTTGGACTTTGACAGTGCCGTGCTGTGTGCTCACCAGCGTCCCATAGGATAAGAGAGAGGGTAATGGAGGCCTTGGTGCTCCCATGCCTCCCCATCGGAGCCAGGAGCTCTGTGTGCCTCCAGTTCTGGCCTGAGCTTTGCTGGGCCAAGAGGCTACTGAGGCTCGGGGTGGGCAGGGTCCTGGGGGGCTGCTTGGATTTCCCTTGAACAGGGCAGAGGGGAGGGGAGGGGGGTCTGGAGCCTCTGCCGGTTGAATAATAATGTCTCTTCACCAGTGCTTGGTGGTGGTTTTCTGTGTTTTGCCATTTTAAACAATTTCAGTGAACGTCTTTTGAACTTGCCTGGTTGTTAAGATAAATTTCTAGAAATGGAACTGCTTGTGTTCAGTGTGGCACATGGTGGCTGGCAGCCCCCTGGCTGCCCACTTCCTCAGGCCTTGTTGGTACTGGAGCTGGACTTCCCCATCTTTTCCGATGTCAGAACGACGCCTGCTTTGGTCTGCGAGTCTTGGAGTATCCGTGGGTTGAGCACCATTATGTATCTTATCAGCCATCCATTTCTCCTTGTTGAGGCTTCGTCAGGGACTTTGTTCCTGGTTCAGGTTCGCCTAGGGCCACTGGGGCCTTCAGGGAGCCAGTGGACCTCACCTGCTCACCTGTGGGCACTCCTCTCGGCAGCTTCATGGAGGAGCCAGAAACTCCAGCAGACCCCTTAGCTTCCTGCCCCAGACCCAGCGCGGCCATCACCCCTGCTGCCAGGTCTGCGTTCCAGGCCTGCCTTCTCCCCCTGGCCTCTCCTCCTCCAGCTTTACACACCTCCCTCACCAGCTCGCCTCTGCTCAGTCCTGAGCAGGAGGAGAGGGTCGGGTGGCTCAGAACGGGGACAGTGCCATGGGTGGTTAAGGGGCAGCAGCAGCATGTCGAGCTCACAGAGTACGTGGCTTGGACCTGGCCTGGGTGTGGTGCCAGCCTCCACCCTCACGGTGAGCTCTCCTGTGGCAGGGATATACTATAACTGATTTTTGCTGAATCTGAACCTTTGATGAAACACATCAGAGTATTTCAAATGTTAATTAATGTGTGTTTTTCTCTTGTAGAAGCCAAAGATGTTGACCAGAAAGATTAAACTCTGGGACATAAATGCCCACATCACCTGCCGCCTGTGCAGTGGATATCTCATCGACGCAACCACGGTGACCGAGTGTCTGCACACGTGTACGTGTGGGATGTTCTAGAATGTGGCCTTTGACAGCTGTGTGTGTGTATGTGGTGACCGAGTGTGCATGCGTGTATGTGCAGGATGTTCTAGAACGTGACCTCTGACAGCTCTGTGTGTGTGGTGACCGAGTGTCTACATACGTTTACGTTCAGGATGTTCTAGAACGTGGCCTTTGACAGCTCTGTGTGTGTGTGTGTGTGGTGACCGAGTGTGCATACGTGTATGTGCAGGATATTCCGAACGTGACCTCTGACAGTTTTTGATCATGTGCTCTTTTGCCAAAAACTGTTAGCTGAAGCACAGAGCAGGACACCGGGACAGGAATAAAGATCATCTTGAAGATCGGAAAGATCATTTCAAGTTAAAAATACCGTGGGTGACTTCAGTAGAGATATCATTTAAGAAAGCTGAATACAGGAAAAACTTAGTTATTTCTATATAAGAGCTAAACTGGTGACTGTGGTATGACAGAATATTCATTTCTAGTTGGCAAAAATGCTTCTTTTTAAAATTTCTGAATGAATTTCTTACACTTTTTAGACAGGAATCTGGTGGTCTGCTCCTCAAGGCTGATAAGCCTGTGTTTTGATTTCTAGAAGGCTCCTAGCTTGTGTTAGAGTTGAACTTTTTTCTTTTTTAAGCACCACCTCAATCTACAGGGAGATAGCATTGTTTGCCTTGGCACTTAGTTATCGTGTGAGGATGGTGGAGAATGCCAGTGAGAAGTGTGCCTGTTGATTGCTGAGGAGCACATTCTTTAGATGGGATCTTTAAAGTAAAATGATTACCTCTAACACAAATGATTTTTTTTTTTTTTTTGAGGAAGATTAGCTCTGAGCTAACATCTGCTGACAATCCCCCTCATTTTGCTGAGCAAGGCTGGCCCTGAGCTAGCAACTGTGCCCATCTTCCTCTACTTTATATGTGGGATGCCTACCATAGCATGGCTTGCCAAGCAGTGCCGTGTCCACACCCGGGATCTGAACCGGTGAACCCCAGGCCACCGAAGCAGAATGTGCGCACTTAACCGCTGCACCACTGGGCCGACCTCTAACACAAATGATTTTTTATCTCTGTTTTTCACTTTAGAAAATAAAATATTTGCCAATTTTGATAGAACTTTTATTTTAAAGTTAATTGTATTTTTAGATTTCAGCGGACATACTTCTATGTTATTTTCATTGAATTTTATTTGATTTTGTTGCACAAAGAAAATTTTGTGATCCTTTAGGCTAACTTATAAAAACTTTAACTCTTGGCTCCTGTGGTGACATTTGGACGAGACACTGAAAGTGTGTCCTGCTGATTTCTCAGCTCTTGACCTCCAGACAGCTTCTCCTTGCTTAGGTTTCTCTTCCCTTATTCCTGAGCCTCAAGGCGATCAGTGAGGCAGTTGCCTGAGCAGTTGTCTGTTGTTTTCTTGAGCACCCACAGGGTGGGTGTCTGCTGCGGCCTGGGTGTGTGCTGAGCCTGACGGATGTCAGCACCTTGATTCTGGGGTGGTTTTCTGACATGAATGTGCTTTGCCAACAGTCTGTCGGAGTTGCCTGGTCAAGTATCTGGAGGAGAATAACACCTGCCCCACATGTAGGATTGTCATCCACCAGAGCCACCCGCTGCAGTACATCGGGTAAGTGCGTCCACACCAGTCCCCAGCGTCATATCTGTGGTCCTCGACTTTGTCAGTGGCTTGTCTGGGCTGAGGGCCCCCATGACCACACGCAGTGGCCCTGCCCCCCACATGAGACAGGAGTGCCAGGCTGTTCCTGCCTGTTCCAGCAGTATTTGCTCACATTGAACCGCTTGAGAAACCTCAGGACCCAGGTGGATTGTACTAGTTTTATACTGAAGTGACTACAGTTTCCTCTGAAGGCAGCCCCTGGAGCTGCCTTTCTGCCCAGGAATGAATGGGCCGGGGCACTGTTGCTCCTTGCCTGTGGCATGAATCTTGCTCCCCGTGGCCAGGGCTCTCCTGCCCTGTGCTGCCTGCTTGGGTCTCATGGAGACTGGACCCCCTCCAAGGCTGTGCCATTTCTGAGGGAGGGTCAGGAGGAATTGACACAGCCCTGACCTGGGGGTCAGGCCAAGGAAGGCAGGAGGTGCTGGCATGCGGCTCTTAGGCCGATTTATGTGACTTCCAGATTTGGGGCCATTCTAAAGGAAGTGAAGTGCTCCCCACATCACATGAGAGGAGCAGAGTGGGTCTGCAGACAAGTTTTGAAGGAAGAGAGGCATATTTGTGTGTTCACTCCTTAAAGTGTGAAATACATTGTGCACACAGAAGAGTTTAAAAATATGTGAACATTATGGGATACAGCAAAAGCTGAATTAAGAAGGAAATTCGTTGCAATACAGGCACACCTTAACAAACAAGAAAAATCCCAAATAAGCAATCTCAAATTACCCCTAACTGAATTAGAGAAAGAAGAAAAAACAAAGCCAAAGTCAGCAGAAGGAGAGAAATAATAAAAATCAGAGTAGAAATAAATGCTATTGAAACAAAAAAGGCAATAGAAAGGATCAATGAAACAAAGAGCTGGTTCTTTGAGAAGATAAATAAAATTGACAAACCCCTAGCCAGGCTTACAAAGAAAAGAAGAGAGAATGCTCAAATAAACAAAATCAGAAATGAAAGAGGATAAATAAAAACAGACTCCACAGAAATACAATGGATTATAAGAGAATACTATGAAAAACTGTATGCAAACAAAATGGATAACCTAGAGGAAATGGATAAATTCTTGGACTCCTACAATCTCCCAAAGCTTAGTCAAGAAGCAGACAATTTGAACAGACCAATCACAAGGAAAGAGATTGAAACAGCAATCAAAAGCATCCCAAAGAATAAAACCCCAGGACCAGATGGCTTTCCTGGGGAATTCTACCAAACTTTGAGAGAGGATTTACTACCTATCCTTTTCAAGCTATTCCAAAAAATTAGGGAGGATGGAACACTTCCTAACGCATTCTATGAGGCCAACATCACTCTGATACCAAAGCCTGACAAGGACAGCACAAAAAAGGGGAACTACAGGCCAATATCACTGATGAACATAGATGCAAAAATTCTAAACAAAATTTTGGCAACTCAAATTCAGCAATTCATCAAAAGGACCATACATCGTGATCAAGTGGGATTCATATCAGGGACAGAGGGATAGTTCAACATCCACAAATCAATCAACGTGATACACCACATCAACAAACTGAGGAATAAAAACCACATGATCATCTCAATAGATGCAGAGAAAGCCCTTGACAAGATCCAACAGCCATTTATGATAAAAACTCTGAACAAATGGGGATAGAAGGAAATTATCTTAACATAATAAAGGCCATATATGACAAACCCACAGCCAACATCATACTCAGTGGGCAAAAACTGAGTGCCGTCCCCCTGAGAACAGGAATGAGACAAGGATGCCCTCTATCACCACTCTTATTTAGCATAGTACTGGAGGTTTGGGCCAGAGCAATTAGGCAAGAGAAAGGAATAGAAGGAATCCAAATAGGGAGGGAAGAAGTGAAACTCTTGCTGTTTGCAGACGACATGATCTTATATGTAGAAAATCCCAAAGAATCCATCAGAAAACTTTTAGAAATAATCAACAACTACAGCAAAGTTGCAGGGTATAAAATCAACTTACATAAATCAGTAGCATTTCTATACTCTAATAATGAACTAACAGAAAGAGAACTCAAGAACACAATACCATCACAATCACAACAAATAGAATAAAATACCTTGGGGTGAATTTAACTAAGGAAGTGAAAGACTTATACAATGAAAACTACTAGGCTTTCCTGAAAGAAATGGATGACGACATAAAGAGATGGAAAGACATTCCATGCACATGGATTGGAAGAATATAGTTACAATATCCATACTACCTAAAGCAATCTACAGATTCAATGCAATCCCAATCAGAATCCCAATGACATTCTTTACAGAAATAGAACAAAGAATCCTAAAATTCATATGGGGCAACAAAAGACCCCGAATTGCTAAAGCAATCCTGAGAAAAAAGAACAAAGCTGGAGGCATCACAGTCCCTGACTTCAAAACATGCTACAAAGCCACAGTAATCAAAACAGCATGGTACTGGTACAAAAACAGATGCACAGATCAATGGAACAGAATTGAAAGCCCAGAAATAAAACCACGCATCTGTGGACAGCTAATCTTTGACAAAGGAGCTGAGGGCATACAATGGAGAAAAGAAAGTCTTTTCAACCGATGGTGCTGGGAAAACTGGAAAGCCACATGTAAAAGAATGAAAATTGACCATTCTTTTTCACCATTCACAAAAATAAACTCTAAATGGATCAAAGACCTAAAGGTAAGACCTGAAACTGTAAGGCTTCTAGAGGAAAATGTAGGCAGTACACTCTTTGACATCGGTATTAAAAGGATCTTTTTGGACACCATGTCTTCTCGGACAAGAGACACAATAGAAAGAATAAACAAATGGGACTTCATCAGACTAAAGAGCTTCTTCAAGGCAAGGGAAAACAGGATTGAAACAAAAAACAACCCAGTAATTAGGAAAAAATATTTGCAAGTCATTTATCCAACAAAAGGTTAATCTCCATAATATATAAAGAACTCACACAACTCAACAACAAAAAAATCAAGCAACCCGATCAAAAAATGGGCAAGAGACATGAACAGACATTTCTCCAAAGAAGATATACAGATGGCCAATAGGCACATGAAAAGATGTTCATAATCACTGATCAGCAGGGAAATGCAAATGCAAATCAAAACTACACTAAGATATCACCTTACACCCATTAGAATGGCAAAAATAACCAAAACAAAAAGTAACAAATGTTGGACAGGCTGTGGAGAAAAAGGAACCCTCATACACTGCTGGTGGGAATGCAAACTAGTGCAGCCACTATGGAAAACAGTATGGAGATTCCTCAAAAAATTAAGAATAGAACTACCATATGATCCAGCTATTCCACTACTGAGTATCTATCCAGAGAACTTGACGTCAGCAATTTAGAGAGACTCATATACCCCAATGTTCATTGCAGCATTATTTACAATAGCCAAGACATGAAAGCAACCTTAGTGCCCATCAACAGATGATTGGATAAAGAAGATGTGGTATATATGTGCAATGGAATACTACTCAGCCGTAAAAAAGAATAAAATCGTCCCATTTACAACAACATGGATGGACCTTAAGGGAATTATGTTAAGTGAAATAAGCCAGGTAGAGAAGGACAATCTCTATGACTTCACTCATATGAGGAATTTAAAAATGCAGACAAAGAGAACAGATTAGTGGCTACCAGGGGAAAGGGGGATGGGGGGTAGTTACAAAGGGTAAAGGGGTGCACCTACAACACGACTGACAAACAATAATGTACAGCTGAAATTTCACAAGATTGTAACCTATCATTACCTCAATAAAAATTAACTTTAAAAAAAAATGCATGAGCAGCTTAAAGCACCTCGAAGAGAAACAGCTCTGGTCAGGAAGTGGAAACCACCAGGCCCAGGAGCCCCTCCCCTCAGGGCAGTCTTCTCTGCGTTTGCAGCCCTCTGGCCCAGACGACACGGCTGGGCCTCCCCATTCTCCGCTTTCTACAGTGGGTTCTGCCAGCTGGGTTCCTGGGTGCCTTGCCCGTGACTCGGCCAGTTGTCTGGACAAGTCTCTGTGAGTGTGGAGCCGCGGCCCACAGCGTCCCCGGGAGGAGGCCCACTGTCCATCATGCTGTGTTGCAGGTGAATGTTAGGGGCTGTCCAGTGTGGGCTCCCCTGCACGGGCTTCTCCCCTCGGCCTTTGCCGGAAGCAGAGTGTCAGGGTGGAGACACATGCATTCCTGAGCCCTCCTGGGGTAGGGACAGTGTGTTCTCCCACCCTCATGGCCGGGGGGCCCTTGCACTGCATTCTCACCTGGACTTGAATGGCCAGGTGTTAGCTTTTGCCCCGTGGTGGCCCTGGAGGGTGTCTTGTCCCGTCACCCTGGTTATCATTGAGCCCAGGCCTCTTCCCAAATGTTACCCGGCCATTCAGGCTTCTGGGAGGTGGCTGTTCACATGTTACGTCATTTTTCTACTGAGTTCTTTGTTTTATTCTGCTCTGAAGAAATACTTTACGTATTCTGGGTACTAATTGTTGGCCAGAGCTGGGGGGCTTTCCCGGTGTGAACCACTAAGGGCAGGTGGTGGTAAGGGGCGTCATGCTGGTGGGGGAAGCTGTGGAGGCTGCTCCCCTTCTCTCCCTGCGCTGGCTCTGGGACAGGCAGGGCTGTCTGGAGCGCTGAATCCCTTTGAGCCGTGTGAGACGCTGTCAGCACAGGCCTGGCCTAGCTTGCTAGCACAGAGAGAAAGAAGGCCTGCGGAGTGGAGCCGCCAGGTGCACGGGCCTCAGCAGTCTGCAGCTTGGGTCAGGAGGGGCGGACCCCGCCTTTTCCTTGTGCAGTGACCAGGGCCAGAGAGGCAGAGGCACCAGAGCTGGGTGGAGATGCTTAGCCCTGAGGCCTGCTCTGGGCCCCAGGCCTCCAGGGCTGCTCTTTCCCAGTGATCCTGTCCCTTACTCCTTGCTTTCAGGCTCTGCCTGGAACTGCACTGGCCAGGGTGGTCCTTTTACCCATCCTGGCACCAACTCTGAGGTTGACTCAGATCCTTGTTCCTGACACAGCCATACCTGCCACGGCCTCCCGTTGATTCTGCTGCCCCTAGACCACAAGGTTGCCTCAGGGGACCGGCCTCTAGCTTCGGGCTGGGACAGAGTGAGAGGGCCATCAGGCGGGGCAGAGCAGTGGGGCCTGGTTCAGGACTCAGGAGGTGGGATGGTGCCGAGCAGGACTGGCCGCGTACGGATGCCAGACCGAGCCTGCAGGATCTGGTAGATCGGTGAGGCAGCTCTGCACTTCCCAGGCCTCATCTTATAGCCTAGGGTTTTTCCCATGTGGGCCTGGTGGAGAACATGGAACAGGGAAAGAAGTGAGAGGGTCTGTGGCCTGCAGCTTGGAGTGTAAACGTGAAAGCTGCGAAGAAGTGGCCTCTGTTTCAAAGGGCTGCCACCCGCAAGCCTGGGGGTGGCTGGACATCAGGAGACATGCATTCACTGTTCTGTTCTGCCCGCTCACACCCTCCCTAAGGATAGCTCCCCACACCCTCCACTCTGAGCCCCTGGGTCCTTGGCCAGGTGGGTGGGGCCTGGCATGGTCGCTTGTGGGACCCAGATGTCGAGTTCTGTAAGAGTGGTTCAGCCCAGCGGCCTCTCCTGGGGGTCAAACAAGCTTTACAAAAAGCCAGCAGAAGTACAGTGGGAACTGCTGAGGGTGTCCTGTGCGCTGAAGGTCAGCCGTGTTTTATAATGCTTCTGTGTGCATTTGCGTTATCTGTATGTCCAGGTAAATGTGAGTGTTATGACGTGAAGTGCATTTCTTAGTGTGGATCATGGTCAGGGAAGTCTGAGGTCTGGCGCACCTCGGGCACACTCGTCACTGGAAACTTTCAAAGCCTAGCGTCATTGGAACTTGAAAGTCCAGCAAGGAGAGGTTGCGGGTCTCCAAGAGGGTGTCGTCTGTGTCATCATCATTTGAAATATTCACAAGCAGCTAGAACCTAAGTTAAACGATGCATTAATTTAGATTATATGTAACTTTTGATAGCACATTTTTTTTAGTGCAAACTAGAAGCAAAATGCAATGAGAACTCCAAATTAGTGATTGTGGAGTTTGACGTTGTTAAATGGAAATGTGTGAGCGTTATAGAATTGACATTTCCAGCTAACCCCACCTGTTCTGTTCTTTTTGCCAGGCATGACAGAACCATGCAGGATATTGTTTACAAGTTGGTTCCAGGCCTCCAAGAAGGTAAGTATCAGATATCTGCTTGGATCCCTAAGTCTGCCACACGGCCTCAGCGCGTCTCTCGGGTGGCCCCGATGAGAGGTCTCTTTGGCAGCAGCCCCATCTTGCTGTCCCTGCTTGAACACACTGGCATCTCATTTGTGGTCCCTCCCGTGTCCTCCACTCATCTGCTCCTTCCTTCAGGAGGCACTGGCGCCTGTGTTGTGCATGCCAGCCCTTGTTTGGATGGTGGGGGCACAGCAGGGGCAAGGGCGGCCTCCCCCTCATGCTCACACAGAGGGGAAGCCACTAACCAGTGTGTCTATGAAGTGTACCTGTATTTAGGTCAGATCTCATTGAGAATTAAAAAGGAGTATTATGTGCTGCAAATATCCTGAAAGTGGAAACAGCCACTCTTTTTAAAACTTCCCCAGTTCTGAACACTGAGACTGTCACAGCCGTCCTTTGTGGGGGTGGTGATAAGGGGAGGAGAGAGGGACAGAGGGACATCGGTCTCAGAGTTCCATTCGGTGTCAGGGTGGACTGGCGTGGCAGTGCATGCCACGTAGGCACACTTTCTTTCAAAGATAAGATACGTTAAGAGTTCATTTGGGCTGCATCTCATTGTTATGTTTCCGAAGGGGGTTATATAATTTAAAATACAGCTCACTGCTTTAGATAAGTAGATATTATATCTAGCCTTTAATACATATCTGAAGGAATAATATTGTTATCTTCTCTCACTGTTCACAGAATTTATTCATACAAGAAGAATTTAAAATTTCCTGAGTAAATGTAAATAGAATCAATCATCTTTTGATATCTTGAAAGTTTTTTGGTCTTGGGAAAAGACAATGTATCAAAATAAAATACTGATACCTTAAAAAAATTACTGTAGAATATTTAAACTGCGTAAGTTGGCAGAATCGAGTAGAGAGCCCATGTGTTTATTCCCAGCTCCAGCAGGTGTCAGCTCGTGGTGAATCCTCCTTTGTCTGCGCCCCCCACCAGATACCTGTTATTTCATCTGTAAATGTTGCCATTTGTATCCCCAGAGATAGGGATTCTTCTTAAAAGACATGACCAAACACCTTTATAAATCTAAGAAAATAGTGGTATCTCCCTAGCATCAAATATCCAGTCAGCGCCGAGAGGTTGAGCCATCCCGTGAACGCCGCATCTTTGGGGTTTTGTTGGTTTAGTTGTTTTCAGTTAGGACCACATCAGGTCTGCCCTCGGGCTGGCTGCTCTGTGCCCTCTTGGCCCCTCGGGTCTGCAAGTCTGGACTTGGGAGGACTTCCCGTTCCTGCCAGACATGGGTCGGGAGGCCTGATTGGGTTCTGGTCGGTGTTTCCAGCAAGCCCACTTCTAGGTGGTTCTTCCACCTGCACAGATGCTGTCACCCCGTCTCTTGTGTCGTCCCAGCAGTCATACACCCCCAGAGCTTAAATCCATAACTACAGACAGCAGAGCTGCTGCCCCGTTCTCTCGGTCCTGCTCCTTTGTTGGAGGGAGTACCTCCACAGACACACTTCATTGCTTGGTCTCCCTGAGGTCCAGTTTGTACAAAAAGCAGAACAAATGCTTGAGTGTTTCCTTTCTGTTTACAAAATAACAAGTTTGGTTTACTAGCCGCGCCAGCCTCAGTCACTTAGGTGGGTTTAAACATTTACATGATCTCAGTTTATTGCAGTTACTGTCCTTTCTGAAGCTCAAGTCCTCCCATCTGTGGCCAGCGGGCACTTGTCACACGGGCTCTTGGGTCCCTCTGACATAACCCAGGCAGTCAGGGTGGCCTTGCTTTCCAGTTCAGGCAGGGTCTAGGCTCGTCTTGTCAACCCTGCCTCTGTGCAGCCACTTCCCCACAGAGCCCAGGTGTCCCTCGGTGCACAGTGGTGTCTCAAGGCCAGCAGTCGGCGTGCAGGTGCTCGGGACAATCTTTAATGGAGCTTTGCTTAGGAAGAAGCTGGGGCCAGCGTAAAGAGCCTCCTGACTTCCTGGACAAGTCATTTGTTCCTGTGCAGCAGGAGCACACACGCTGTTGGTTCACCTTGATAACTGTCCAGCGTGGTGGCCGTCAGCTCTACCATAACATGAAGAAATGGGGAGTTCTCCAAGTGCACACTGACCTGAAGGCGGCCAAGCGCTGCCTGCAGGCCAGTGTCTTTTCTGCAGAGACAAACACTTCATTTCTCTATTTCTCAGACTTTCAGTCGTTTGTTGCTCTTTAAAAGGTTATTGTAACTTTGAAATCTTTAACAGCATGACTGTGGTTTTTTGCTTTTTGTTTTTGGTGAGGAAGATTGGCCCTGACTAACATCTCTTTCCAATCTTCTTTTTGCTTGAGGAAGATTGTTGCTGAGCTAACATCTGTGCCCATCGTCCTCTATTTTATATGTAGGTTTCTGCCACAGCATGGCTTGATGAGCAGTATGTAGGTCTGCGCCAGGGGTCTGAACCCATGAACCCTGGGCCACTGAAGCAGAGCACGTGGACTTACCAACTATGCCACTGTGCCACCCCCTCATGACTGTGTTCGTGATGCAGGCTGTCCACAGTTTCCTTGGTTTTCCTTGTTGTGCCAACATTGTAATGCTGATTGCTCAGCATGGGGGCCTCTTCCTGGTTCTCCAAATAACCCAGAGCACGTCCACCATGTTGTGCGATCGTGAGACAGCAGCGAGCTGGGGGTGCAGGCGTGTCTCCTGGCGGATGACCATAACCCCTCCTTCCTGATCCCACTCTGCTCTCAAGGACCCTGGAAAATAAAAATGAGCGTCTCTCTGAATCCAGCAGGCTACTGGCTGACTCTGCTTTTCTCTTCCCTTGTAGATGAGACCTTTTTGGTGAAAAATTAGTTTTTCAGTTGTTTGTTGTTTCCTTTTGTTTTTATAGTTTTAAAAAAGCTATCTGCCCAGAGACATCTTTATCAATAAAATGTATCAAATTATCTCTTTTTTAATATTACACCACCACCTCCCTTTTTTCCCTTCACACTTTCGCTGCTTGCCTCTCTCACCAGCGTGACGTGGAGGTGCTCTGCTCTCGCCCTGGTCACGGCTGCATAGGCTCCGTTCTGCTCGTTTCCTGGCCCTCTCCTGACGGATACTTAAGGTGCTTCTCTTCTTTGCTTTAACAAAAGGCAGGAGTGTGCAGTGGATATCCTTCTGCGTGCTTCTGTGGATGTGGATGAATACATCTCTTGTCTTTTTTCTGGAAGTAGAATCACTTGGCCAAGGTGTCTGCATTTTTCTTTCTTTCTCTTGCCTCTTCGCATTGGCTAGAGCAGGAGCTGACAACGACAGGCCACAGACCAGCTCTGGCCCACTGCCTATCTTTATGTGGCTCATGAGCCAAGAATTTTTTTACATTTTTAAGTAGTTGAAAAAATTCAAAGAAAAAATAGTACTTTGTGACATGTGAAAATTATATGAATTGAAATTTTGTCATCCATAATTAGTTTTGTTAGAATGAGCCATGCTCATTCATTGACGTACTGTTTGTTTTCACACGACAATGGCAGAATTGAGCATTTGCAACAGACCACATGGGTACTCTCGTTGCTTCACACTGCTGTTCAGCACGCCACAAATGTCGGTGACAGCTATAGCTTGACAGCATTTCGAGAGCTGTGCATATTACTGTTTCAAGGCTTTTTTTTATTACCATTACACACCCATCCTGTCAAAACAAGGAAAATAGAGAAGTGTGGGCTTCAGATGTTGCACTTTTAAGCCACAGAGAAGTATGGATAGCTCTCTTATTGAATGGTCATTGTTAGCCGGCAAAGCATCGTGTTTATCTTGCAGTGACACCACTGCTGTGCTAAAATAAAAGGATATAGTATGTGTTGGCATTACCAGACCGAACACACAATATTCCCAACTTAAAGGGAAGCAGCATTTAGAAAGAATTGAAAATTTGTAATTGACGGGGCTGGCCCCGTGGCCTAGTGGTTAAGTTTGCGCGCTCTGCTGCAGGCGGCCCAGTGTTTTGTCGGTTTGAATCCTGGGCGTGGACATGGCATTGCTCATCAGACCACGCTGAGGCAGCGTCCCACATGCCACAACCAGAAGGACCCACAACTAAGAATATGCAACTGTGTACTGGGGGACTTTGGGGAGAAAAAGGAAAAAATAAAATCTTTAAAAAAAAAAAGAAAATTTGTAATTGAATATTTCATCACAGTAGAATTTCTTCACAAAAGTAAAAAACGAATATAAGCCTGCAATAAAGTAAGTTTCTGATTGGCTTATTTGTTTGCCAAACTAGGACAATCCTTTACTATTGATGAGTCTGATTGCAGCAACTAAAGAAATACGTTCAGAGAAAATGAGCTTGTCTGAGACCATTAGCCTCAGTGAGGACAGTTGCTTGGGGGCTGAGTCTGTTAGAAGCAACATCAATAGTCAGTTGAACAACAAGGCAGATGATCTGAGTGGTTTCCCTTGGCTCTTGAGGTCTCCGATGCTGCTCAGTTGTGTCCTCGGTGAGTTTGAAGCGACTGCCGACGTAGCCTCTGTGGGCTGTCTACATGGAGCAGCTACAGGCGAAAGTATTTTCAAAGGAGTTGAAATACAACCTGAAGTGGAATCTGCTAAGGCGTGTTACAACCAACAGTGGTAAAAATTTGTGTGGATCAGGAAAAGGCTTAGTTGGACAAATTAACCAAGCTTGTGAAAATGTAAGGTGTTTATAAAGCTCGTTGTATTGTTCATCAGCAGGTGCTTTGCAGAAAACACTTGAATTTTCATATGTTATTGAGTCAGTAGTGCCAATGGTAGCCTTCTCCACCTGTGTGGATGTACCGTCGTCAGCTGTACGAGCTTCGTCAGGACAGAAGACTGCTGAATACCCTGACTCGCCCTGCCACACAGCATGGTTGTTTTTCGATGCCTTCACGATGGTCGTTTTTTTGTGCTTTTTTTTTTCTGAGCTAAGGGCAGATTGAAGTTTTTCTGAATGGAAAGAAGCACCTTTCAGGGCTGGCCCTGTGACCTAGTGGTTAAGTTTGGTGTGCTCTG